ATCTTGAAAATCCGGTCATTTATTATTAAGATTGAAAGTAGCAAGCATACAAATTGTTAAAATTGAGATGGGTTTAGAGGAGCGTAAGAAAGGATGCGGAGAAAGTAGATGGAGGTCGTAACCTATATCTGTGGGGACTTTAGACGAAACGATGGGGGAAAAAACGTACGAAGAAGTGGCAAGTATTGGATGTGCAGGTTTTTACGGTGAAGAATGGGGCAAATGTATGCGTTTGGAAAACTAAATGAGGTGGATGGAAAAAGTGAGAACATGTGCTTTCGCGATAAAACTAAGATATATTTCAAATGAAAGTAATTGAATGTTATGTGTATTTTCGAATACATTTGAGAAAATGTTGGATAACATTTAAATTGAGATAAATGATGCAATTTGAGATAAATTCGATAGTCGTTATTAGTTTGAAGATGGATGTGAGTGTGTGGGGTCGGAATTCCATCGAAGCGAAAAATTATACTTTGAAATTTGTCCGGAAAGTGTAATAAATCGAGATGGTCTATAAATATGTTTATCTGCTGGATTTGGGCTGTCGGTGCAGTCGCCGTTTTGGTGGTGATGTTTCCTTCTTTACTGCTCGTGTCCCCATAGATAATGCTAATCTATGCGAATGTGGCGCAATGTACGCGCATCGTTATTATGCAATGCAGCTGCGAGGGTGAGATTACTTTTAATGCACGAGTCCGAGCCGAACCGTTTGTTTCACTGCAAATTACGTGAAATAATTTATATTATAATTCGTCGAGTGCGCGTAACTTAACACAATGCAAAAGGGGCCCAACCCTGTCCTTTTGCTCTAATGCTTATGTAATATTTTCGGGTGCGTGATGGGGTTTGAATTAATCGACGAATGTCACTTGAGCTTTTATCCAGTCAGCTTTTAATGCGCACGCAATATTGCAATCAGTAAGCACGAAAAATCGTTTTCCCGTTACCAGATTTTTTTTTTAAATATTTCAAGTGAGAATTTCCCTCTTACCCACGGAATCGTTTATTCTCATATTTTGGTCAAATTGCGCATTCAATTTCTAAGCCAAATATGCAACTTTCATACGCATCTTTTGGATTCATTCTATGTATTATAGTTTTCGAGAAAATCAATGAAATGTGAAAACACTACTTTTTCAATTTTGAATGCGAATTCCAGCCAAACGGATAAAACCACAGAAATATATGAATACTTGTTACATTCCCCAAACATTCAGCTTTAATATGCATCTTTTGGATTCATTCCATGTATTACAGTTTTCGAGAAAATCAATGAAATGTGAAAAGACTGCTTTTTCGAGCACTTTTTCAAATTTGAATGCGAATTACAGCCAAACGGATAAAACCACAGAAATATATGAATACTTGTTACATTCCCCAAACATTCAGCTTTAATATGCATTTTGGATTCATTCTATGTATTACAGTTTTCGAGAAAATCAATGAAATGTGAAAAGACTGCTTTTTCGAGCACATTTTTTCAATTTTGAATGCGAATTACAGCCAAACGGAAAAATCTACAGTAATATATGTATACTTGCTAGATTCCCCAAACATTCAGCTTTAATATGTATTATTTGGATTCATTCTACGTATTATAGTTT